GTGTGTGTGTGTGTGTGTGTGTGTGACTGCATGTGTTGATGACTTATTGGATGTGGTAGTGAAAATTGAATTCATTTATATATTTCTGCTTTGTTACGGTAGTGGGTATACACATCAACTAGGGTGTATTATCATAGGATGTCCTGCTGTTGCACAAGCGGTCAACTCTTTGGCTGCTGAAGTTTTGACTCGGACGTGGGTCCATCCAGCTATCGATCCATTTATCAGTAGTCTATCGATTTTATTTATGTACATCTGGTTGCTGCATATCACATTTTAGTCTGTCGGTGGAGTCAGAGAAACCTCTCCAGCCATCAATCTGTTAATCTTTCGTAGTATTCATACCCCTTTTTTTTGTATTGTTTCCGGTTGTTTGGCATTCTTCCATGTACGCAGTGGGTACATGTCAAATGGTGTCAGTATTTTGTTGATGAGAAGGGAGAGAAGAAGATATCAGGTGTGGTTTTGATATGATTTGTATTTATTTATGGTTCTGGAGTAGGCGTAATGCGAGCCGACAGTGTGCTGTCATCTTTCAATTGTGTTCTCCGTAATGCATTTAGACCTAGTCTTGCTATAAGTTCTGATTGGGATGCTGTCAATAGTGTCGTACATTTGCAAGTTGGCAGGCGGGTCCCCCACTATTCCGGCATTTTGTCGGTTCGAGTTAAGCCACCATTCCCTTGAAGCCTATTTTGTCGAACGTACAATTCTCACCGGGCCTTGCCTGTCCAGTCTGAAATGACAATCCTTCACGGAATATGCCTTCGGTTTGGCACAAATACTTTTTCGTGGGCAACAACTTCCCCCCCCCTCCCCCCCCAAACCTACAGGGCTGGTTTCTTTTAGATTTTTCTCGTGAATGGAAATGACAATTTGAAAATTGCCCAAGTTGGGAACTGGAAATTTCGTGAATGGTGGTAGGCTGAGTCTTTTCGGAGTGTCTGCATTTATGGGAGAGGGCTTTGGAAGGCCTCAGGGAAGCTTGGTGACTTAAGAGAGTTGGTGGGGTATGTATGTATGTGAACGCACTGCCGTCAAGTGCCTCAATTGCCGGTTGCTGTGATTTTTTTTCGTCGAATGTGACTTTGGAGTGGATGCCGGTGGCAGGATGTGACCCACCCTGAGCTGTCTGGACTAGCTATAACCCGACCTGTGAAGGTTTATGGGGACCTAGAGATCGTCACTAGAGCGATGGGAGCATTCATGGACTCGAAAGACAGGGCAGGGAGCTTAGAAGACAGAGGGCCTTCTCCAGAGAAAGGTTCTTGGGAGTGAAAGAGTGTTGCAGAGTGTGATGGGGAAGCTCCTCCTTACTGAGTGTGTTTCGCCATTTTGCGTATTGGTCTCCATATCTTTGCCACAGTTACTATGCCCATTTCTGTGAATGCCCTTGTGATACACAGTCTAAGTTCAGTGCTTCATGCACTTCTTGTGATTCAAAGGGAGAGGAGCTCACTGATCTGTGAGCCTTGGTGTTTGTGTGTGTGTGTGTG